ACTTGCATTTATATGCTTTTCTCTTCTACTGGAACCTTCAAGCTTTCCAACTTTGCTTACTCTTTGCTAATAAAGTTGATAAGCTATGCTTTGTTTTTTTTTTAAAAAAAAAATGCTTTTCCAAATTAACAACTTAACACTCTCCTAAAATTGCCTTTTTCAGTCAGCTAAGTGGATGAGTAGTACACTTTTTTTTTAGAAGTGGAGGCCAGAAATCTGTCATTTAAGAATCCATTTCATTCTGCACTGGAGGGAAGGCAGATGGGGACAGGATATTTTAATTTTTTTGGGATCTGACTGAAGTAAATGCCTGTTGCCTTCCATAAACTTGACGAGTATGTCTTTAAGTCCCACCCAACTTGGTGTTTAAATCAGCCTTTTAAAGGTATTAAGACCATATTAATAGCAAACTTGTTTTGATACTCCAAGTTCGCGCTGCTGCTTTAATTACTTTGGCACTTAAAGGAAGTATGTAGCATTAAATCTAGTCAGTTGTTAGCTCCAACATTTTAAGGGAATCCCTGTCCAATACTTGGGTTTTATTTGCCAACTTTCCATAACAGCTGATTTTGAGATGCTACATTTCAGTTTGTTAGACATACATGACAAATTCTGGCATAAGTTGGGATCTTATCCCTCTGCAGTGCATGCATAACATCCAGAAACCCTGAAGTGAAATTGCAGCCATGGTGGGTTCACTACAAAGCTGAACTAAGTAATTGGGGAAAAAAAAAGCTGTTTTTATGGTGGGTCATAGCAACCCAGCATCAGTGTTATGAACTGTTGCTGTTTGTTTTCATCTTAAACATTTGCTAAACTCGAGTGAGAAGCTGCAATTGGATTACGTATGCTATTCTACCTCAGTTCAAGGCAAAATGTACAGATTTAACATCACGTTCCTCCACGACCACACATACTGGTTAGATTGGGCTGAATAGCATTTGGAAATGTAGTAACTGAAAGACCAAAAGCAAAAATCCAGCTAATGCAGTAGTTTAACTGGTGTAGCGCACAGCTACACAGGGTGGTCAGTCTGTTACTTTAACCTTTGCCCTTTTAGGCTGAGCCAGTCTGATCACCTGCTGTTGCAGCTGTGGGTCATTGGGAGCTGCAGAGCTGGTCCCTTTTTTTAAGAAAAGGAGTTTGGCTGACTGCTTCATCAATTCCATTGTGCAGGGCTCTGAGGGGGAGCTGCTGCTAGCAACAGGGTTCCCGGTGTTTGGGATGCATAGCATCCTCTAAGATGGGTGGGGAATGAGAGGCCATGGGAGTGCCTCACTGATCACACTGTTCCTGCTTGACATAAATAGTATTTGAGCAATCCATTTGGATGAAAATTAGTGTAAAATTTGGCTCATTGAAGTGTGCCTTGATACTGAAAAGATTGGGAACCACTGAGCTAATGAACTCTTACTTAACTACAGTATGAAGATAGTACATTTTGGAGTTGATGACTTATCATGGCCATCTTTGCATGTTGATGGCTAGATGAAGGTCTAAAGTCACCAGTTGTGTTACACGAGATCTCAAATTCTTTTAATTCCAAGTCCTAATGCTAAAACTGTCCACTTAACATTTAAGACTTGTACACAACTGGTAATAGACGTCCACTATCAAATTTCCAGTTAAGATGGCTCTTTCTATTTCCAACATCCTGCCCCGATCGTGATTTTTGTCGATGCTGCACTTATTGCATTTTTCAAGCCGTATTTTTTCATTCCTCTGTTTTATCCACTCAGTGCATAGCTGCAAACAACAAATCTGTTGATAATGACAAAGGAATTTCCAATCCAGGAAATGGGGAAAAACTTTCTGGAGCCTTGACTTTTTAAATTTCAGTACCAGATGGTGACTAGTCTGCATGTATTTGATGACCTTGGTCACAGGGAAACTCAACTGAAAATGAGAGAAAACCAGCAGATCACCATGACAGATTTGTTGTTTCAAGCAGAATCCTTGCTGAGTGAGTGTCATTGTGAGCTTTGTTCTTTTGTTTTCATGGCCTTTAATGCTGATGTAATCCAAAAAGGAAATCTTTGTACCTGCACCACATTTAACCACTAAGGTGGACTGACTTCTGGCACATGTCACCTTTCATGGCTGAAAATGATTGACCTGGTTGTGAAAATAAATTGTACAAGTCACCAGAAATTGTTGGCATTGTTCCATGCTAGCTATAATAGAGAAATTGCAAGGTGGAGAACTACTAGAAAGCACACTTAATCACTTGACCTGCTGCCAGAAAAATCGTTTCTCTTGAATAGTCTCCCCATGCATTGAGGTGCAGGGTGGCATCTGTACTGAATTTGCTCAATCATAGAATCCCTACCATGCAGAAGGAGGCAATTAGAATCTACACCAACCCTCCAAAACACCCCTCACAGACCCAGGTCCCACTCTGCCCTATAACCCTGCATTTACCAGGCTAATCCACCTAGCCTGCACATCTTTGGATGGAGGAAGCCAAAGTGCCTGGCAGAAAACCACACTGCAAACTGCACATGGTCACAAGGTTGGAATCGATCCCAGGTCCCTGGTGCTATGAGGCAGCACTGCTAACCACTGAGCCACCATGCTGTTTATGTGGGTGGGGTGAAAAAGCTAGGTGAGTTTTTGTGCAACGAATTCTTTTGCATAATACTATGATTTAGAAACAGGAGTAGGCCATTCAGCATCTCGAGTCTGCTCTGCCATTCAATAGGATCATGCTTAGTCTGACATCCCTCATCCACTTTCCTGCATTTTCCCTTTAACCCTTGGTTTTTTTTCTTCTTTTCCCCCCACCACCCCCTTACAGATTGAATATCTATCTCAGCCTTTAAATATACACCAAGGACTCTGCCCCCACAGCTCTTCATGGCAAGGATTTGTAACGACTCAATCTTTTGAAATTCCTCCTCCCTTGGTCTTAAATTGGCACCCCACAATTGAGACTATATCTGGTCCTAGACTTTCCCATCAGGGCAAATGTATCCTTTTCTGCACTGACCCTGTCGCCCCCCTCTTCATTGTATGTTTCAGTGAGATTATCTTTTTTTTTCTCTAACTACCAGGTATGTAGAGTCCCCACCTGTTTAACCTTTGCTCATTAGACATCCCTCCATAGTCAGAATCATCCTAGTGAACCTTCTTGACTGCCTCCAATGAAATGATACCTTTTAAAGGGATGAGAACATCTGTGCTCCAGATGTGGTCTTGCCAGTACCTCTTGTGGTTGCAGTAAGACTTCCTACTCTATACTCCAACACCCTTGAAATAAGGGTGAACGTTCCATTAGCCTTCCCGGTTACCAACTACACCTCTGCTAGCTTTTTGCAGTTTCTCTCTATTTAAATAATACTCTTTGCCCTTCCAGAATTAACTTCACACTTTCCCTACGTTGTCCTTCATATTGCCCACTTAATCTATCAATATGTCTTTGTAAACTTTGTATCCCTTTTGCAACCCGTCTCCTTTTTTTGTCATCTGCAATTTGGTTGATGTACATTTCAGTTCCTTCTTCCAAATCATTAATATGTTGTAAACAGTGTTCCAGCACTGATCCCTGCAGAATGCTGCTGGTCATGAGTTATCAATCTGGGGGAGAAAAAAAGCCCCTTTTATCCCCACCCACCATTTCCTGCCAATGAGCAAATATACTACCTCCAACACCATAAGCTCTTACCTATGACTTCTCCTTTTTGGGAGATACTTGTTGAATGCCTGTGGAAGTCCAAATACAACACGTCTACTGCTTTCCCTGTGCCTACTCTGGTTGAGACTTCCTCATACTCAAAATTAGTCAGATGTGGCTTCCCTTTCACAAAGCTGTGATGACTGCTTCATCGTGTTTGGGTTCCTTTCTTCCCCTAACACGTTCTGCTATTACTTAATTTTAACAAATTAAGCTAATTGGCCTATACTTGCCCACTTTGTCTGCCTTCCTTCTGGAATCAGTGTCATTAGCAGTTCTCAGATCCTCTAGTACTTTGCCAGAATACAAGGATTTTGGTGAAATTACAACCAAGCATCAGCTATCTCCTAGCTGCCTCCTTATTTGATCTTTTTTAGATGCAAGCCATCAGGGCCAGGGAACTTGCCTGTCTTTTCCATTTTTTTTTTAAAGTATTAGGCAAACTACTTCCATGATGGTCTCTATCGGTCTCGTGCCTATTCAAAATGTCTTCCACTTTGAGCACTGAAAATTATCTAACTTCTGTCACCTGTTCCCCATAACTGTCCCTCCACCCTCCACCCAATTTTGAAGTAGTTAATGTGACTGTGCCTCGGGAGACACCGCATCCGGGTAACTCTTTCCCTCCCTCCCTCCCTCCCTTCCTTCCTTCCCTCTTGAGTCAGTGTTTGAAGCTCAGGCTCCAGCTCATCAACTGAGCCAGAGCACGCACTATAGATGCGGTCACACTCAACCACAATGGGGTGCACCAGCTCCTGCATAATGCAGTTACAGCACTTTGCCTGGCTCTGCACATCTCTCTATTTTTAAATTTGCTACTGGTCTTCAAATTTGACAGATTTGAAAACCATATCCTTTCAACCTGAAAGTGATAGTCAAACTGTCAGTCAGTGAACATGTGGGTTTCCTGTGATGCTGTTTTTATGCTAGCCCCAAACCTGGGCTTCAGTTTATCGTCTTAAAAAGGCCTTCAAATTATCAACCTAAAAAGTACTTCTACCTCTGTACATCAAATCCTCCCAGCTCAAATTCCAAAAATGTATACTTTGTGCCTCACTCCAGATGTGATCTCTTTCCTGACTGTTTAAGCTTGGTGTATACTTGAATCAGTGTTTGCCTTTCTTCAACCCAAGGCATCACTCCACTATTCAAAGTTTGTACAGTTTGCTCTGCTCTTCTAGAGCATCCTCCGTATACTAAGCTATACACTGCACATTCCCAAAACAAACCTGATAGTTGGTGGAAAGCCTCTATAATTCTGTTTTCAAATGTTCTGATGCTCTAATTGAACTCTAAGTTATTTTGTTCACCCCCTTGTGTTTTCCAGGGCTGGTCAATGAATTGGTGGCCCTGATCCCATACAGTGACCAGAGGCTGCAGCCACAAAGAACGTAAGTCTCGAGAGGATTGATAACTTTGTACTTGCCTGGACCTGATTGGTCTTGTTGCTAACACTAAATATTGCCCCTTGTCTAACAATTGTGGGTAGTGGAATAGCTGATTTTTCACAACTGTTAATCCAGAACCCTAGATTAATGCTCTGGGGACATGGGTTTGAATCTCTCCATTATAGTGAAATCTGAATTTTTAAAAAAAACACTGGCAACCATCTTGCCATTGTTGGAAAGACAGATTTTGGGTCCCCTAATGTCCTCTTGCGTAAAGGAAATCTGTTATCCTTGGTCTGACCTATGATTTTAGAACCACAGCAATATGGCTGACTCTTAAACTGCCCTCTGGGCAGTTAAGCAAGGGCAGTAAATGCTGCCTGGCCAGCAAAGCCCTCTTCTGCAAATGAAGCTAATAACATTATTCCCATTAGTCCTGAAGTAACTGAACTGAAATGGTTGGTATTTTGATTCTAGTGATGCTCACAATTAGAAACAAAAACTGAAGCTTGCAGTGGGAGTAGAGCGTGCAATTAATGTTTTAAATGGGAACTTAGCATTGACTCTTTAACATCGGATGCATGCATCCGGTGGCTCTGGTTAATGCAGTCAGCAGTAGGTATGAATAATGGTAAAATAGTTCATTCTTAACAGCTGTATAATACAATAACCTCGGGTGCTTTGGGGCAAAAGTACTGACTGAGTACAAGAGAAGTTGAGGCTGAAATTTGGTTGGAGGGTGGGTGTCTGTCATCTAGAATCTTCAGGAAAATAAAACTTGTTTTGGTGTTTGCTGTGGGGTGTCCCTAATCCTCCTGAGATGAGTCCTATTCCATAATTGCAATAAATTAAACAATTTTTTTGATTAGTAGCCTCGCTTTTTAAAGGAATATATCTTAATGCTAGTTTAAATCATATCTAGCTTCAATTTGTAATTTTGAGCATCTGCCTTTGGTTTGCAATCCATAAGTGGGAACAGAATTAGGCCATTCGGCTTATCAAGGCTATTCCATTGTTTTGATTGTGTGACTGAGAAAGACATAACCAGGATTTGAGTTGGTATGGTGAGGTTCTCGAATGTGTGGAGGAGGTGTACCTGTTTAAAACATCTAATAGGTGCATAAGCCCCAGGGCCAGATGAGATGTATTCCAGGCTGCTATGGGAGGCAAGGGAGGAGATATTAAATATTTCTCTGGCTACAAGTGAAGTGCCAGATGACTCGAGGATAGCTAATGATCTGTTTGTTGAAGGGCAGCAGAGAGGCCATATAACTAGACCAGTTAGTCTTGCCAGTGGTTGGGATATTATTGGGAAAAGGTTGTGGGACAGGATTAATCAATACTTGGGCAGGGATGAATATGGATAGTCAGCATGGCTTTGTTAGAGATCCTGCCTGGCTAACTTAATTGAATATTTTGAAATCTCTAAATATAGAGGGTAGTGCAGTTGATGTCGCTTACATAAGCTTTCAGACAGGTCTCTGACAAGGTCCCACGTGGAAGGCTGATCCAACAGGTAAGAGCCCACTGAATCTATGGCAAATTGGCAAGCTGTGTCCAAACTTTGCTTGCAAAAAAGCAAAAAGAGTAGGTTGTTTTTGTGATTTTGGAACTCTGGTACCAGTGAACCACAGGGGTCAGTGCTGGGATCCAAACGGTACGTTCACAATGTAGATGTGCAGGGAGAAGGTCATAGATATTCATCATGGAAACGGACCCTTCGGTCCAACTCGTCCATGCTGACCAGATATCCTAAATCTACTCCCATTTGGCCCATGTTCCTCTGAACCCTTCCTATTCATATACCTATCCAGTTGCCTTTTAAATGCTGTAATTGTACCAGCTTCCACCGGCACCTCATTCCATACACCCACCACCCTCTGCATGAAAAAGTTGTCTCATAGGTTTAAGGTGCAAGGAAGGATTTAAAAAGGACCAATGCCCTCCAGGTTTGGAGTTTCCCACCCCAGGGAAAAGACCTTGGCTATTCGCTCTATTCATGCCCCTCATTTTATAAACCTGTAAGGTCACCCCTCAGCCTCTGCTCCAGGGACAGTAGCCCCAGCCTCTCCCTGTAGGCCAAACCCTTCAATCCTGGCAACATCCTTGTAAATCTTTTCTGCACCCTTTCTAGTTTCACAACATCCTTCCTATAGTCGGGAGACCAGAATTGAATGCACTGTTCCAATAGTGGCCTAACCTATGTCCTGTACAGCCACATGATTATAGGAATTGGGACGTCAATGCTCTGACCAATAAAAGCAAGCGTACCAAGCACCACCTTCACTATCCTATCTACCTGCAACTCTACTTTCAAGGAAATATAAATGTGCATGCCAAGGTCTCTTCAAAGTTCCCCAGGAACTTAGACATTTAGTGGTTAAGTCCTACCCTGATTTGCCTTTCCAAAATGCAGCATGCCATGTTTTATCTAAATTAAGCTCCATCTGCCCACCAGCATGCACATCCAGAGGATCATTAGCTGCCACTTCTGCCTCCACCAGACATTCCCCTCTCCTCCCTGTTAGCCTTCCATAGGGACTGTTCCCTCTGGGGAAACCCTGGTCTACTTCCTTCACTCCATGCGCATGATGACGTGTAGACTAGGTGTTTGCTTTGCGGAACACCTCGATTCAGTCTGCAGACAAGACCCTGAACTTCCAGTTGCCTGCTCCTTCAACACAACCTTGTTCCCTGGCCAACATCTGTCTCAGGCATGCTGCAGCACTCCAGCAAAGCTCAGCACAAGCTGGAAGAACAGCATCTCATTTTCCACTTGGGGACCCTGCAGCCCTCTGGGTTCAATAGTTGAACAATCTTAGGACTTGAGCTTTCCCATGTCCTTGCCCCAACTCCCGCACATCAGGCCTTGTTATCACATATCTACTATTACGCACAACCCATTGTTAGCCACTAATGGTCTCCATTAATAGCTACTTGCCCTCCTAACCTGATCATTATCCACTCCTTTATGTCCAACTGTTCTTCTGTCTCTTTGGGCTCTCTGTCCACCTATTGCTTGCTCCTTACCCCCAATCTTCTGCATATGAACTGACACTTCCTATCTCTTCTGAGGAAGGTTCACTTGACCTGAACAATCAACTGATTTCTCTCCACAGATGCTGCCAGACCTGAGTTTTTCCAGCAATTTGGTTATAAAACACTAGTTAGGCCACAAATGGAATACTGTGTGCTGTTCTGGTCACTGCTTTCAGAATGGTGTGATTACACTGGAGACGATGTATCTCATCTGCTCAAAGATGTTTGAGGTGAGAAGCCTGTTCTGAGGAGAGACTAACTCCAGAATGCTTGACTACTCCTCATGTGACAGGCCCAAAACTGCTCTCAATGTTCCAAATGCAGTCTGACCAGAGCCTGGTACAACCTTAGCAGTCTATCCCTGCTGTTTCATTGTAACTTTGAATGAATGCCAACATTGCTTCTGCCTTCCTAACTGTCTGCACGTTAACCTTTAGAATCTGGAACTTGACCTCCAGTCCCTCTTGTTAGGCATCCGATTTCTGATGCCTAAGTCTACTCTTCCTACCAAAGAACATAATCTCTCACTTTCCAACGCTTTGTTTTCCATCTTCCATTATAATCCATTAATGAAGCTAAAACTTGAGCTTGTAGCTAATGCTGTGAAATAATGGGTTTAAAGCATTTCTGGGACTAGAACTAACTTTTGAAGGCTGTTTTTGAAAAATGCATTTTCAAATTTCTGTATAAACAAATGTCTCTTGTGTTTTAGGAAATTGTATGTCTTCATATCCATATTCGTGTGCTTGCTGATATCTGGATTGGTTGTCTTCTTCCTGTTCCCTCGGTCAGTGGTTGTGAACGATGATGGAATTAGAGTGGTCCTTGTGAAGTTTGACAACAATAACTCCAGAGTCTTCATTGACATGACCGTAATTAATTTTGCTTAATACGTTGAAATGCTAGTATTTGAAGTGCTTTCAGTTATTCCACTTTGGGATCTTGCATCCCAGCCTTTCCCTTTTTAATCTATTATCTGATTTATCTCAAATCTACCTTGTTTTTAAAAAAAAAAAAACAAAAAAATTATCCTTTTAAGGGCCAACAAGGACCTAGCAGTTGTGGTCGTATTCTGTTTTTGGTCCCTGAGTTGGGCTACTGTATGAATAGCTGATCTGGTTCAGAAAGGCCTGGCAGTCCTTTAGACTTTGAAGAATTGCTTTTGACCTGCTATCACTATTGTAATGTATGGGGGAAAATGGCAGCTAATTTTACGTACAGCAAACTCTAAGAGAATTGACCAGATAGTTACATGTGCAGTAAGCTGTACACTCTAAATTGCCTGTTTCTGGTCCCCTCAGTCACAAGCTGCCTGTGTAGGTGTGATGGATGCAGCAACTTGAAGAAATCTTTGTAATAAGATCCAAATTTTGCCTCCACCCAACCTGGGGGATATCCCTGCCTGCAGCCTAAGAATTGGCCATTGGCACCTTGCACCTCCAAAGGTGCAGTTTTTTGACCATAAATACACAAATGATCAATTGATTGGCTGAAGTACAGCCAGATACCCGAAATGTCTGTTGCAAGTTCCTGTGCTAATTTAAAATCGAGCCAGCTTGTCATTGGATGTTGAATGCTCGCAAATATGAATTGATTTTCTTCACCCTCATTTTGAAAAGTCATCTTGTTAACTTTGCAGTAACCCAAATTAACCTTACCTGGAGGTGCTCATACTTCCTGTCAGGTAACAGGTGTGCTGTGATGACCTGCAGCATCTTGGAGTTAGGGTAGAGCCAAGTGTTCCAAAATGTGGAAGTACAAAAACAATCACCTGCAGTGTAATGCAGTAACTAACATACAGTAACAATTTAAGTGATGGACTTAACTTGTAAATATAAACTGGCAGTAACAGTTTTCAAAGTGCGTTTAGGAGCATTTTCTAGACTTTATTTGGTTTCCTCCGAATGAGGAAAGAGTTATTACTGTGTTTTGTTTGATAACTGTGTGTTTGTAGGGGATTTTTAGACCAGCAATTCTGATCCCTGCTGACATTACTACAAGACAAATCTGATCCCAGAATGGATTCAGGTTTGAGAAAATCTTAACTATTTTTATTGTGGTAGCATGAAAGTAGGCTAAGCTACAGACTGTCCCTCTTTCTGACATGTCTGGCAAAGTATTGACCACCTCTAATTCTGGCCAATAAAAATGTAAACACTTAAGCCTGTTTTCCTAACACTAAATTCCAATGGCAGGTCACTTAATCACTCAAATACTTCACAATACTCTACTCTTGGCACTTCCACCTGAAGGTCCACTGTTCATTCCTCTTCAGCTGGTATGAGGTGGCCTCCATTACTCAAGACAAAGTACTGAGGAAATAACACTCATTGTTTCTGACTCAGTTTGGGTAGGCTGTTTTGTTCAAACTATCCTTTTTTTTTTAAAAGCCCTTGTTGCCTTTCTATTTCAGTCTTGTTCTCCTTTTTTATCTTCATCCTTTGTCCGTTAATCCAGTTGTCAGATGCAATGAGATTTGAGGTCACCTCCCTGTTTCGTAGATGCATAGAATTAGAAAGTGTAGTCTGAGATATTGTCATGACACTAGAATCCAAGATGTTCCTTCTGCAACATTTCTGTTTCTTACCTTCTGGTAGTTCTGCCATCCAGATTGAAGCAAATAATTTTTCATCAGCTAGATAACTTCCAAGATCTAATGAATTCCTATAGAGGAATTGATTTTACTATTCACTAGCTGTTTACTAAACTACTTTTTAATCCAACTCTAATGAGACTTTGTTTGTTTGGCTTGTAACCTCCTGTACATGTCAAATATTTTCTTTGCTCCCTCTGGAAGACCAAAATAGATCAGCCAGCATCAGTGACTTTTTTGTTCCTTACCTCTTATTGGTTTACCTGAAGTGTGAAGAGATTTTTTTTTTTTTTTTTGAAAATATTCAACCATTCTAGTACTGATTCTGCCAATAGTCAAAGAATTTGACCATGTCATCTTTCCCTCCTCTTTTTTTTTTTTTTTTGATGTTTCTTTGGAATGCACTTCTTTTGTACTACTACAGGTTTTACCACACTTCCTAACATGTTTTTAAGATTCTTTAGATGTTCCACCTACTATTTGGTCTCCAATTTAACTTCCAGCAATTGGCGTTGTGCATAGTTGTAGTACAATGGAAGCTTGTTTTCATTACTGCTCTCTTGTGCATGTTCTGGATATCTACCACTGTCTGGGTCCAAAAGGTGTTTTCCTCATTTTTCTCTAAACCAATTACTGCTAATTAATGCCTTCTGGTCTAAGACATGTTTGCTATGGGGAAATAATTCTCTTAAACTGCTGTCTATGCCCTCATTTTCCCAACTCTCCACTTCCCCTCCCCGCCATGCACATGTGACCATTCTCCTCCCAAGATGCATCACCTCATGCTTATCAAGATTAAATTCCATCTGCCATTGCTCTGCCTGTGTTCCCAGCTGATCCTCGGACCATTCTCCTCCACTATCAACACCAATTTTCATCAAGCTTACTAATTAACAACTTGGATATGGAAGGTTTAGCATCCATGAAAATAGCAAGGGTCCCACCACTGACCCTGTGGTACATTGCTGTTCACAGGCTTCTAATTACAAATTCAACCCATCACCTTTTGCCTCCTATTTGTACACCGGTTTGTCAACTTCCTTGGATCCTGTGAGCTCTTGCCTTTCTGGACCAGCATTCAATGTGGGACCTTGTCAAAGGCCTTACTGAAGCCCATGTAAACTGCCAACTGCACTACCACCGTCAAAGTATTTAGTGGATGTTTTTGGAAAAGTCAATTAAGTTAGGATCTCCCTCTAACAAATCCATCTGCATTTCCATTTCATTCCCAATTTTTCCTCTAACTTTTAACGATTGAAACCACTGATACTGCAGTTTCTATTAATTCAGTTGTAGAAAGTGGACATTCTGGCTGGGCCAGCATTTATTGCCCATCACCTGTTCCACCTTTGAAGGTGGTGAGTTGCTGCCTTGAACTGCTGCAGTCTACTTGGTCTATTTATTAATTCTACAAGTGTCTGATTTTAGTTTGTCTTCAAATTTTAATTGAAAAGCTCAAAGGGCTCAGGTGTTAAGTATTGCCTCTCGACAAGATGCATTGTAGATTCACTAGCTGTTTGCTGCCATAGTCAATTCTCTATCCACGTTAATATACTACCTCCACTGTGTGGGCTTTAATTTTTGAGGTAGCCTTGTCAAATACCTTGAAGTCCAAATATGACATACCCATTTGTTCCCTCCTCCACTCTTAAATTTGTAAGGTGTGATTTTTCTCTTCCATGAAGCTGTCACTTTTTTCTTTCCTCAAGTGTTCTGTTTCTTCATTAACCGATTTTCAAATACTTTCTGGCAATAGACGTGAAGCTAATTCACCATATTTGCCTGCTAGTTGTCTTTTTTGAATAGGGTGTCATGTCAGCAGTTTTCTAATCCTCTGGTACTTCTCCAGGGATTTTTGGAAGATTAGAACTGATGCATCCACTATTTCTGTTCCTATCTCTAGTCTGCTGGCCCCAATGGTTTGCCTCCTATCTGCCTTGGTCTCTAATACTAGTACTGAACTCCTCCCTATAAAAAAATTCAATATCTTTCACTGTAAAGACTACAAAATATCTGTTTAACTCATCATTTCCTTGTTCCCCAGACCCCTCTTCTAAAAGGGTTTTTGTTCTCTTTGACCCCCCCCACCTTGTTTTTGATATTTAAAGAATTTTTTATTCCTCGCTGTTTTGCCCTCAGTCTGTGTCCTCTAACCTTTTTAGTTCTTTTTGCTAGACTCCTGAATTTATTTCAGTCCTTTGGGGCTATCACACTCTCACTTTGCCTTTTGTATGTTTTTTGCCTTCAACTTGATACTCTGCCTTTTTTAGCTTCATCACTTAACCATGGTTGGTTAATGACTCTCTCCGAATACAAAGCCTCTAAGTTCCATTATCGAATTTCTTTTGTGGTTCCATTGTACCTAGTGACATTGAGCAGAAGACCAAAAGACACAACTGGGAACCCCCCCCCCCGCAATTTAGTTGTAAAGCCCTAGTAATGTGATTCATCCAGGACTCTGGGGTTCCAGCCTGATTGAAGTGGAGCCTGCCCATCAGAAGAGCTCCCTCTGGCACCAGTACTGGTGCCAATGTCTGAATTTTAACCTGTTTCTCTTCCCATCTTTGAGCCAGTTTTTTTCATCTTCAATCTCGACCCTGTCAACTTACTTCTTGAGCTACAAGCAATCTGGAGAATAACGTATTTTTTGGTTCTGCTTTTTTTTTAATTTGGCCCTGAGCTGCTCACGTTCCCTCATCATTTTCCTCTTTCCTCTTTCTACCTGTGTTATTAGTGCCTGTGTGGGCCACAACAATGGAATCTTTCCTTCCTGCTTCCAGTTCCTCTGCAGCCCAGATGAAAGATTCTGAATCCAGGAACCAGGCAGGCAACACAGCCTTCAGGATACTCTCTCCTGGCCACAAGTGTTTATTTCCTGATGGTACATGTTTTTTCTTCTCCCCACTTGAATGGCTCCTTTGTACCACAGTTCTATGGTCGGTTTGCTCATCCTCTGGACAGCCCCAGCCTTCTTACACAAGGAGCAAGAATCCCAAACCTGTTGGACAAGCTTGAGCGAGGCAGTACCTTTTGGTACTATCTCCTGATCCCTCGCCTTGCTTATAGCTGCATCCTCCTGTCCCTGACCACTGACTAGATTTGACTGCCTCCTGAAACACAATATCCAGGTAACTCTTCCCCCTCCCTGATGTGTCATAGTATTTGAAGCTCCGACTCCAGCTCGTCAACTGAGCTGGAGCTTCTCGGGCAACCAGCACTATTTTATATTCTTTCTAAATTTTCTCCTGGTCTTTTTTACATTGCAAAATATTTTTTCTATTACTTGTTTTTAACCTGTAAATCAAACTACTAACTAATGAACTTATGGTGGCATCGCTTGTGTGACTGGGAGGAAGGGTAGATCAACCAAAGCCAGAGCTCCTGAATAATACAGGAAGGTAAACTGAAGCGCAAAAAGACAGTATCGGGCTTGTAATAAAAGTGCAAAGCTGACTCCATATAGAAGCTTCAGGGTGGTAGTGGAAGAAGTGAGATTGAGGAGATTAGTAACTAACAAGGAGAGAATCCTAAACACTGCCATCAATTTAGAGATTAGCTGGGTGGTAACAGGTGGGATTGATTGAAGGTCCAAGAATAGATTTGTATGGAGGTAGAGTGTATAGCTTAAGTATTAACAATACCATCCATCTGCCTTTATCAATAAAGGTGGTTGTCAAGGGGAGGTATTGAAATATTGGATGGCTTTCATAGAATTCCTACAGTGTGTAAACAGACATTCAGGTCCACACCAGCTCTGTTGAAGACCCTGTGCCCCAATCCCCAAAATGACTAATCCACCTAGCCTGTACACCCCTAGACGCTATGGGGCAACTTGGCACAGCCAATCTACCTAACCTGCACATCTTTGGACTGGGATGAAACCCCTACATGGAGAATGTGCAAAGTCCGCAGTCATCTGTGTGGAGTAGAGCCCAGGTCCCTGGTGCTGAGAAGCAGCAGTGCTAGCCACTGATCCAAAGGTTAATTTTAAAGCAGAGGCCTGAAAAGTTGGCTGTACTTGAAGTCATCAGAACCATGTTAGATGCATTTGAGGATATTGAGGGAAGGAAGCATGGAAACTGGAGGCACTAACCTTTCTATCCTTTACAAATAGTGGGGAAGGACTAGGAATTGAGGTGTGCCAAGATGACCCTAGCAATGAAGGCCAGCTTAACCTAGTTGGAAAGCTTTTTTCATTAAACTATAATCTGGAGCAAAATTAATGCTCCAAGGACAAATGATTTGCCATGCAGAGGAACTTAAGATAATAGCAGACAAGCTGTGTTTTGAACAGACAGCTAATATCAAATGGGACAAAGAACAAAAGCTAAGAGGGAGTAGCTGGCTATCGCTTCCGACACTTGCTCCTGATAAAGCATGGTGACTTCAGAAGTGTCCTAAATGTCTCAACACAAACTTAACCAGACAGAAAACAAGAATTCAAGTTTGGATTCTTTGGCAGTTGAGGTTTGGTGAACCACACTGCACAAAAATCAAAACCTAGACCCATCGAGACTGACCCTGTTGATTGGAAATGTAGCTAAATTCCACCATTAATTAGGTAATAGTTAAGTTGGGTTGAGGTTTAACTTGAGTCTTTATTTGGTTGGTCATGCTATAAAGTTTAAATAATTTTCAGTATTTGATTTAAGATTTCATAGGCTATCTTTAATTCAGCTACTTATGGTAACTTAACCACAGCATAGGTCTGTAGATTAGAATAATTGAATCATAGAATCCCTACAGTGTGGAAACAGACCCTTGGAGCATCCCACCAAAGCTACACATCCCTGATCACTATGGTCCATTTAGCATGGCCAATCCACCTAGCCTGCACATATCTGGACTGGGAGGAAACTGGAGCACCCAGAGGAAACCCACACAGACACAAGGAGAATGTGGAGTTTGCATAGACAGTTGCCAGAGGGTGGAGTAGAGCCCAGGTCCCTGGTGCTGTGAGGCAACAGTGCTAACCACTGAGCTGCCATACTGCCCCAAATTAATATCATTAATTTGAGTGCAGGCCACAAATCTAAAATATTGGGAGGATGGTGATAGATTCCATCTGCGTCAACATCTTGAGGATAAGTGAAGTGCTGCATTTGCTTAGTAAGAAAGGAGAGCTTTAAAATTAAAGGATCCCATTCTGAAGGGAATGCAAGCCCAAAGTGTGTGTATGAATGAATAACTTGAAGGGCAGTCTGGTTAAAGTATGAGCTTCTGGGCTTTCTAAATGGAGGTAGAGAACATTTAAGGCTTTTTAAAAACCTTAACTGAAGTATTGATCTTAAGCGCCCAAAGCTGAAGGATGAGAAGGTTTGAGATTTGAGAATTGCTCCATGCTTGAGATAATTGAGGAAGAAATAGGTTAGAAATTTGATCAATTTCAAAGTTAAGTCTAGACGGGAAGTCACATTCCCTCTTTTGGAAGAAGCATAGACAGATTTGGTTATCTTGCTGAAGGCAGCAAGATAATCTTTTATGTTTTTAAAAAAAAAACCCAAGTAGAGGCTGAGATCTGGAATGCACTGCCTGAGAGATTAGTAGCTGATTCAGTTGTGGCTTTCAAGAGGGAATTGGATAATTACCTAGAGGGGAAAAAACTGTAGGGTTGAATGAAAAGATGGACAAATAGGATGCTGAATTGGCCTTGCAGTGTGCCACTCTTGGAGCAATGGATGGCAGCACCTCCATGTTCTGATGTATACTTGTGTTGTAAAATTGCATTAAATGGAATGTATCTCAAAATTTAATCTTGACTTGTTAGTAGTCTTCATTAACTAGACTGCAAATACTTTCAGTATACTCTGATCTAGTCTAGCTTACTAATCAGTTTGGCCAAAATGTTGGATCTGCTGACAAGTGATGTAATGCCATCCTTTCAAAGCACTTTTTCAAATTGAGGTCTATAGTTGCCAATGTGAAACTGGAAGCTATTTGGAGATGTGCATTACTGCCTTCTACCCCCATCAAGTATAATCTTGTCACTTTTCTATAGATCAGCCAACATTTGAAAACATACTTTTTTAAATGACCTATTTGATCAAAGATGCAGGTGGAATTTGCCAACTTTTCTTGGAGGATCTGGAAGATGCTGTACAAGTGATTCACAGCCAGTGAGTTTTTGATTTTTGACTCCAGCCAGTTTGCATGAGATCCACCAAGGAAGAAATTAGTAACTACTTTTTGGGTGCTGGTTTATTCTAATTTCAACCTTCAAAAGAAACAGACCTGGGCCTTGGTCTTCAACTGATGTGAGGGACCTTTCCTGCCAGGAGTTTGGCACAAGGCTAGGACCTTGTTTAAACATGGCAGAGCTAAGAACCTTGGAGCTGACATCTGGGAGAGAGCCATCACAGTGTGAGTCAGTTGTGCTGGGCAAGATGTCAGTTGTGCTGGGCAAGATTTCAGTAAACTGAGCTAGTGAGTAGAGGCCCAAAATTCTTACTCATTCTAATAGACTCAGATTTTGCAAAATTGCTTTTTATTAAAATATTATCCCAGCCTTATTCTGATCTTTTCCTTCCTCTTTTTTTTGAAGAAGGAAGGTACACTGAAATTGCACTCCCTCCTTACATCTGGTATGAATCTGTTCAATTACTAGTGAAAGTGGTAACCCAAGTTGGTGTGCTACATAAGTGCTGAAGCAGTGTAAATGAGTCTCCAACCCCCCCACACAAACATAGCTTCCACTATTTTTGTTAGTTTGGAATTTTTAACAATTGGCAAGTGTTCACTCTTGACTTTTTTTTTTAAATTTCAGAGTACCCTCAACATTAGCAATTCCAATTTTTATACAGTTTCTGTGGATTCACTCACCTGTCAGGTCCAGTATATGAAAACTGTGATTGGAACAAAGCAGCTGAGCAATGTTTCTGTTATACCTCCTCTGAGTGAGAAACAGGTACTTGTACCACACTTTATTGTCGTTTTTTTTTGTAGTGCTGTCTTTCAGTTATGTTATGTAGATGTTGAGTGCATGCTTGAGCACAATGTGACTCTCCAAAGGACCTGAGGCAATTGGTTGCTTAACTAAATGTGCTAGTGTCCCAGAAACTGGCAAAGGATCATTCCAGTTAGTGCTAGAGTTTTGTGTAAACTTCTCATTTGAGACTGCTCTCTCACCCTCTGGTGAGCAAGGAAGATTTCAGCAGGTTCCTCTTAGATCTGAATCCTTTCGGAAGTGAAAATAAGATTCCATTTGCTACCTCTTTGTTTACACTGATCTATTGTATCTATATACTAATCTTGCAGGTGAACTACACTGTTCGAATGGAGTTTAGTGGTTCTCTGACATATGTATAGTAAGTAAACTTTTTTGTCCTCTGACTAAATGCTAGCTGTATTCATTCTCTGCAAATGGTATTTTATTCAGTAAATATCTCATCTGTACTATAATCACATGGCAAAGATTGTCATATTCTTTTGAAAAGACTGGTTATTCACATTGAAATATGTAATTTTAAACCAGTATTGTCGTCATCAGATTTTAGGATTGATCAGAACTTCACTGGGCTAGCCATAGCATTTAAGACTGCAGAAGTAGGCCAGAGACTAGAAATTCTGCAGCGAGTAGCTTGCCTCCACTTCCTGCCTTTTAGATGGTGGACAGGCTTTGATGCCAGGGATGAGAAGAATCTGTGCTTGCCTGGATGAGTGCAGCTCCAACAAAAGCTCTGCCATCCAGGAAACCCCACATCCCATTAAAGCTTAGAACTAAACTCATTAATAGGGTCATGTGTTTTTCCTTTAATTGCTCAGAACTCATTTAAAATTGAAGCATAGTACAGCACTAGAGGATGGCTTGGAAAGTTGATTTGAGAACTTATCTTCCCCAAGTAGTAAATTCTTTCTTTTTTTTTCTTGAGGGAATAAAACTAAATTATTACTCGTCCCCCTTGGCTTTTTTCACGTGTTAGAAATGTGAAATTGTGGTGTGATGGCCTCTAAAATTTGAGGGACTGGATTGTTGTAAATGTGACTTGTAATTGGCTGCTGCCTAATACTGTAGGTTTATTGCCAAAATTTGTGCAAATGACTAGACTTTTAAGTTTTCTCTCTTAATCTGACTTTTTGGAGTTGGTTGGGATGAAATGGAGGCTGGCAATATTAGTGTGAGGATACTATTTTAAGCTTTTACTTTTGCTTTGCTAGATTTTTGTTCAGGAACTGTGGGTGGAGCTGATGAGGCCAGCACTTGCTGCCCATCTGTCATTCTCCCTTTAAGTTGGTGAGCTGCTAACTTAAACAAAACTCCTTGCAGTGTAAAGACTGTTAGGGAAGGAGTTCCAGATTTTGACTGACAGCCAAGAAATGACAATATATTTCAGTCAAGATGGTGAGTGACTTGG